AGGTGCTATATAGGATTTCTCCAAGTATAATCAGCAAACAACTATCTGCGATGTAAAGATACAGTGTAGTAATGACCTTAGCGTCCCAGTGTGGCCAAAGCACACGTGTGAAATGCAGCCTTTCAGACAGACAGAGGGCTAAGAGTGGTCGAAAAATCATATGACACCTTTAAAACGAATCTTATCTTTTTTTGTAAAGCTTCTTTACAGAGGCATCGAATTCTGTTTGCATCACCGAATCATGATGTTTCTGTTTATCCCTTTAAAGCTGCTTTGAAACAATCCGTATTGTATCACTGGTTGCGTTGTGTGTTCTTCCAGCTAACGTTAGAACTTAATAGTTTTCAAAACAGTGGCTATGAAACATGCATTATTCGTGTGACCATTTCAATAACCATAAAACAGGAATAGTGTAGCAAACCTCGTGTTAATCTAGAATCTTAACAAGTAACATACCTTATCATCCTCCATTTTTGTCAGGTTCTCCTCGGGGACACCCCTCTCTCTCAATGCAGAGATAAAGTCCATATTTTCTGCAGGAAATTAGTAACTTTATGATGGAGATTTATTTAGGCGAGCCGCCAGCGCGTAACGTTACACCATGATATTCGCCAGAAGCATTCACAAGGGGGTGGGTTATCTCGCGATAGCTACTTAATTACGTCGTGAGAAAACGGGTTTTACGTTGAGATCACGAGAAAACAACTTTCGTTATGTCGAGATCACGAGAAAATTAAGTCGTTATAACGAGAAAACAAGAAGGAAAAAAATAAATAATGCATGGCCGCTTAGAACTTCCGTACTATAACACATGTGAACATATTTGAATAAAAATAAATAATGATAAAATCTAAATCTAGGCTATATTTTGAAATCTATTATAATAGTTATAATATCATACTATTTTATATATATATATATAAATATTTTCGTATATGAAGGCTGAATATTTTTAATTTCAAAAATACATTTAATTGAGCTTCACTCAATGAAACGTGTTAAACATACATTTTACATATATTCGCCAGAAGTTTTATTTATTTTATTTGTATTTTATTTTATTTATTCAGTTATTTTTGTCGTATTTGTTTCCAGTTACTTTATCGGTACACAAACGCTGCTTGACATTGCAAACTGGTATACATTATAATTTTATCTTATCATAATCATAAACACGCTGGTTTGTAGAGTAAATAGCTGTAACGTTTACCGCACTTTGGTATCCTTCTAGTTACTTACGAATAATATATTGACGAATAGCGGCTAATGAAGCGGAAGTTTCGCACATACTCTTTCCTTAATTAATCGATAGTGAACGGTAATCTGGTCACCAATCCTAGAACTAGTTAACGTCTGTGCACCCAGCAAACACAGAACGTTACCCTAACGTTAGTCTTTGGTTCCTGTTTTTTTGGTAACCAAATAATAACGTTAGGGGAACGTAATATTTTGTGTACATATTTTAATCCTAAAACGTTGAATACTGATATTTAAAATGATTTTTAAAAATATATAAAAAGATACTTTAAATATGAAATTAAAACCGCCAGTAGGTGGCAGCACGTCACTGTTAATAAGTGAGTCATTGAGATTGAACCGAATCATTTAAACGGTTGATTCATTCAGGAACGAATCACCGTCCTGTTGCTCAGAGACACAGAACAGCGCTGTAGCTTTATTTAGTGTTTTCATAAAAGCCTTATTTTTATGCATTTTTCGTTACAAAAAAAATAAAAAATACACATGTGGCTAATCACATGTGAGGACAGACTAGGATCATACCATTATGTGAAAGAAGGACGTTTGTGCGCTCAAAATATGATCTTTCCCGCGCAGAATTGTGGCAGAAATGTAAGCCCATAGATCCGCAGCTGCCTTCCGTCGCCCCGCACTGGCCGCTGAGCGCAACTACAGCGCAGCGCGAGAACTCATCACACATCCGCTGCGCAGAGAACACGTGACGTCACACGCCTGCGTCACCGGAGGACCGAACAGCGAACACGCGCTCACCCCTCAGCAGCTCCTCGTGAGCGCAGACCGTCCGCACGCAGAGCTTGTTAACCACGTACACCCGCCGCAGACTGAACACAACACACACGCCACTGATGCTCTGACAGCACTACAAATACACAGTGAATCAAATAGTGTGTGTGTGTGAGTGAGTGTGTGTACTGATGTGAGTGTGTGTACTGATGTGAGTGTGTGTACTGATGTGTGTGTGTGTACTGATGTGAGTGTGTGAGTGTTGGCTGTTTTGTCATTTGCCCCTGGCTGTAATTCTGCCCTTCCTCCAGCAAAGAGTAAAAGCCCCAACAGACCCCCGATGACAACAGCTCATTAACTCATGCAGGACTGTAAACTCTGTTCAATTGCACCTACATTAAACTGCGACTCAAATGACATGCAGACGCGCATTTCACGTAAAACATTCCCTTCGAGGTCAGATGTTTACACTGAATACACTACCTAGAACATTAAGAATCTGCCCACCTTTAATTCAGTCCTTTATTCCTCGAGTGATGCTCAGATCTCAGCGTGTCTGAAGTGTCAGCGTCGCCCCGCCTCTGACTCCGCCCACCGCACAAAGCCCCGCCCACAAAATAATTGCAGATGCATGAAAAAATGTACTTAAGTACAGTAATGAAGTAAAAATACCCTCCTTCAAAAGTGTTTATAAAAACACTAATTATTATTATTAATTTAGACTCAATTGCATTAGAAACTAGACTCAAATATTTAGAGTTTTCATGTTTGAAAATGACCATTCCCAGAATTCCAGTCGATGTTATAATCACTTTATTATTATTTTAGCACGAGGAAGACTCTTAGTGAGACTTGAGGAGAACGTCCATCAAACACGCGATGGTTTCTGTAGAAATTAAATAGGTGAAGACAGCACATGGTGTTCTACAAGCATGCATTCATTCAATACACAGCAGAGGTCAAAGACCGCGAACTCTTCAGAGCTCTCTGAAACAACGAACACGCGTCTGTATGGAGTGATGGGCAGAAACATCATAATATTGCAGGATTGATGTGATTCACGCTGACGCCGTCTTCTTCTCTTTGTAGGTGGCCATCATCTTCTTGATCTCGGCGATGGCTTTGCCTGGATTCAAACCCTGCGGGACGAGAAGCGCATCAGAAACACACATCAGCAGCTCAAAGGTCTGGTGACTCTGGTGCGTCTGACCTTCGGGCAGGTTCTGGTGCAGTTCATGATGGTGTGGCAGCTGTACAGAGAGAAGGGGTCCTGGAGCTGGGAGAGCCTCTCCTCAGTGTAATCATCACGAGAGTCGATCATCCAGCGGTACGCCTGCAGCACAGAGCACAGCTCAGAGAGAGCGACCGTGCACACTAAAACATGTTTCCTGTAATGTAACGTTTGTACAAATGTTGCGACTTTGTTTCAGAACATTCAGAGAACATTCAAAAGTAACGTTCCCAGGAATGTTTGCAAAATGATCCAATGGAATGTTTCCTAACTACACACAACACCACGATCAAATATCACAGCCAATCAGAAGCGTGCGTGGGCGGAGCCTCTCTGGAAGTTTCTAATCTAATTCATGAATATTAAACCCTTTTAACATTATTAAACGTACGTACTGAGTGACTGATAACATCTTTGTTATGGAAAACACTTGTTGGTTAGCATTGTTTTATCGTACATCTTTACTTTATTTTCAAACTATCTGTTGTTGCTCTCAGTATGGCTATAAATGCCACGCAAAATGATATTCAAACTCATATTAGAGACGTTTAGCTTTGAATAAAGCACACTGAGATGATCACAGTCGTGTAGTTTGAATGTTGTTGCTCCAGCCGCGGCGTCGCGGAAACAGTTTCTAAAATAGAAATTTCACGTGTCGCGGCTAGTTAGGACAAAAACTGAATTATGGACTCATTTAGACAACGGTTTGAAGTTAAAAGCATATTAATGCTGGATTTGTCTGAGCTTTCGTCTTCTCCGGATGTTGACTGATGACTGGAGTGCTGTGGATTATTGTGATGTTTTTATCAGACTCTCATTCTGACGGCACCCATTCACTCACTGCAGGGTTTCTACACATTTCAAAACTCCATACTTTTCCAGACTCTCCAAACCTCTCAGTAGATTTTCAGACCATATTTAACATAAATGGTTCATACGGCACTATTTTCAGCTTTATATTTGGTATATATTCTGTAAATATGTTTATTTCTTCAGGGTTTTTTCCCACTGATTTTCTCCAAGTGACTTTAGCATGCACGCAAGAAACTTTTTTGTGCCCTCGAGAAACTATTCATACGCGCATGGGAATTTTTCGCATGCTTATTATAATTTCTAGTTTTATGTAACCTATTCCCTTTGTGCATCACTATGAATAAAGCGAGAGCATGGATGCACATGAATTAATAGATAAATTAGGCTTTTGTTATGGTAGCACCTCTAATATGAAGGCTAGTGTCAGCTTAGCTCATCCTCTGCAGCAGATAAAGCATGAGATGAGCTGATGGCGTAATACAGCTGTGTCCTGTTTGCCAAGCTCAAGGGTCTATAAAAAAGACTGCTATTGTAAAAAAGTGCTGAGAATGTGGCGTTCGTTAGCGCAGTGTGTCATATTTAACATTCTGTGGTGGACAAGGCCTATATGTTAAGTTTAATGGTTTCTCATGCGCACATAAAAGTCTGTATATTTTTTTTTTTTGCAAAGGTCCTCAAGGCTGTTATACAGTGCTAAGAATATCATGAGAAGAAACACAAAACATTTTGCATAATGAAAAAGTGCACCTTGAGTTCATCCAGTCACTAAACAGCTGTCATGAAAACACACTTCTTGTATGATAAACTTATTTTCATTCAATTCTTAATTTTCTATTTTAAAAAACTAAATGGGAGCAAAAGTCTTTTTTCCAAACAGTGCGAATCTTCTGACCTGCATGAGGACGGCTGGACCCAGATACTTGTCTCCGTTCCACCAGTAGCTCGGACAGCTGGTGCTGCAGCAGGCACAGAGGATACACTCGTACAGACCGTCCTGACGGAGACACACACACACACACACACACACACACTCACACACGTTACACACTCACACGTTACACACTCACACACACACACTTCGGTGATGATCGCGCCGACCGGCACGCAGACACACCGATTCATCCACAACCAGGTGATCTGCCAGCAGAACCCCGGCGCCGGCTTCCAGGGTGAGACCCCCACACACACACACACGCACACACTCTCACACACACTCACTCACACACACACACACACACACTCACACACGTTACACACTCACACGTTACACACTCACACACACACGCACTCACACACACACACTTTACACACTCTCACACACTCTCACACACACTCACTCACTCACTCACTCACACACACACACACACACAC